TAACGGATATTTACTTTTAAGCTTGTTTTAATAACATTTAAAGTCGTCACCAAGACCGGGAGAGTTCATCATTTTAAGCTCACGCTTGAATATCCCATCAGATGCATATTTATGGTACAAAAACCCGATATCAAAAATAAAGCAACGCAAATCAGATGACGTCACGGGCGGGTTTTGCAACCCACTTGCGCACTTTGGTGGAGCGCGCTTAGCGGTACTTTCGCAGTCGCCACCACCCAAAAATATAAAAAATAACCCAGCCTATATTGAGCCGGCTCGCATTCGAGTTGGGTGCGCAGTTATTTTGGGAATTGCGCAATTTGGGTTTCAAGTGCAAAAGCTGAGCGCTGAACCCACAACAACGGAAAAAAGAAATCAACAACAACAAAATACGAAATAAAGGGCAAACACTTCCTGACAAATTGGCTCCGCAGGGCTGTGCCTCTTGGCTTGTACCCGGTCTTCCGGCATGGCCAATGACCAGCGCCGCACGTAGGCACCCACAGTTAACTAATTGGCGCCCAGTCGGAGCACTTTGCTCTACCACTTAGTGCCATCATAATCGTCATCGATGCCCCACAATTGCCATGCTCAACAGGTAAGCTAAGCGCGGCTCGCACGCCCAATTCTCGCCTGTCCGCCTGAACTCCCAGCCGATTTAGTCACATACATCCCATAAATTCAGCGCATCATCGTCGTCACGCCTGCGTCGCATCGCAAATGAGGCGAGCAGCGCGTGCGCCGTCCGTCTCTGACGTATGATAATCGCTCAATAGCCCATAGCCCATAGCCTATTTGCCCATTTTGCCAGAAGATAGTTTATATAACACCAGAAAGCCGTTTGAATTGATATTCACGGAGTTTCAGTAGAAATGAAAGCTTAAAATTTTTATAAATTTATATTTTTGTATTTTTATAGAATCTGATTAAGACGTTTTACTTACTTTCTTAGAGCTTAAGAATTTAAGGATATATAAAAATATGTTCGTATGAGATGAAATGAGCGATGCAGGAAGAGAGAGAATAAGGAAGACAGAAAGAGAGAGAGGGAGAGAGAGAGAGCGGGAGAGGGTTAGGGAGGGAGAGAGAGAGAGAGAGATAAAGAAAGAGGCAGACAGAGGGAGAATTGAATTTAAAAATAATGATATTAATTGAAGAATTGAATTTTTTTAAATATTTTTTTTTTGTGTACAAACATGTATTTATAAACTCATATAAAAAAATATTTTTCATTTTAATATATTATATAAAATGAGAAATATTTTTTTATATGAGTTTAACACACTTTTAGCTTATACTTAAAAATAAATATAATAAATAAATACATATAATAAAAATAAATATAATAGATATATGCTTACGTGTCGCATGGGTCTGTCTAGTGTTAAAATGGATTTTAAATTCATTTGGCGTCTAGCATACAAATCGCATGTAAATTTGAACAAGTTGCGAGCGTTGTTAACACAAATTTCCTTTGTCTCAATTGGCAACAACTTCCTTCTACAGTCATACAAATTCAAACGAATTCTATAGAAATGGTGCTTTACATTTTGTGTGATTTTTTCAGAACCATATAAGTTTTATATATGTATGTATGTATATGTAAAATGGAAATTTGTTTGTCTAGCATTGACAGCTATTCGATATCCTTGCTGCACCTGCAAGAAAGCATAAACACTTTGCCACCCACGGCATCACATAATTCAATTCTCTTCGGGATGAGAATAAAAATTGAAAGGGGAAAAAAAAAAACGTTTGCTGCTCATAAGAAGATAGAGGTGCTGAGCTGTCTGGCGTAACTTGAGATGGTTACTGATCTCGACTGTGCCCATCTGTTGCTTTTGGTCTCCGGTCAGCCAGGAGATGCAGATCACCAGCGTAATTGACTCTTCCTGCCGCTTGTCAGGAAGCTGGAAAAAAAATTGATATAAAAATAATTTGTCAGACAGATCGGAAGCAGAGATAATATATTTTTCGGCTCGTCCGGCCGCTTTGTCCACTGATCAGTGTAATGATCATCCTATGATCTTGAGTTACTCCCAGCTATGTAGCGCCGTTCGAGATGCGAGAGTTTCCTGAGTCTCACATTAGCGGCGGGTGCTTCAATTCGTTGAATCAATAGAACTGCCTCAAGTGGGGCACTGCATGCAGCCTCTCTCTCTCTCTCCCTCTCTCTGTCTTTCCCTCTCTCTGTCTTTTCCTCTCTCTGTATTTTGCAGCTCTCTTTGAGGTTAATAACTTGACGAGCTGCGGTGTAACCTGATATGGCACAGCAGAGAGGTGTTTGACCCAACTCTCTGTGTCTTTTGCTGTGCATTGAGAGCAAGGCATCTTGAACTCAAAAGCCACTAATTGCTAAAGCTGCCGTAAATCTTAGCTAAATGACCGATTGGAAACTTTAGTTTAATTGGGGAAGGAAAAAGTACACTTCTTCTGAGAAATTTGTTGCTAATTGGAATGTTACACAATGCGAGCGCATCTTTGGCTGCTAAATGCAGCTTATTAAGGGTTAAGCATAATAATTAATGCGAAATCTGATTGGTTATCTAACTGTCCTACAGCTGACCACACTCCTCATACACCAGCCGGCATAAATGCTGCCAGCAGCCACAAAACGCATTTACGACTTCAAACTGGTTCGCGCTCGCTGTCGACCAATTGGTTGTAAAAGGATTCAGTTGGCCGCGTGTTGTATTGTGTTCGTTCAGGTTCGACGCGGTTTGGCTGGTTCCTTGGCATTTGGACCACGCCACGTGTAGAAGATATATCGCAATTTGGCTTATGAATGGGTAACAGCTTGAGATGGCATTCGAGTAAATAAAGCGAATAATGTGCGGTATTCGAAGAATATATAGATTTTGTATTGTATATATAGAGTCATGTGAGCAAATTTACTTATATATTATAAAATCATGTTTCATTTCATTTCTCATGTAATACAAATATATGCCAGTTTTTGGAGTTTTTGTTAAAAAAAAAAAAATCGTAATCATATTTTAAATAAAATCAATCAAATGATAGTGAGTTTAAATAAAAAATATTAATGCATTGCTGCGTAATATTAAATATATAACAATTTAATTGTATTTATAAAACACTTAATTTATTTTATATATTATACAAATGTATATCAATTATTGCTTGAATTTAAAAGATATATATTTTTCTTTAATTTTAAATGAAATCAATTCAAATTAATTAAACTTTTTTTTTTTTTTTTTTTTACTAGTGTCGAATTTTATTAAACGAATTTAAATAAGTTATAAAATCTTATTTCATTGAATTTCTTATGTAATTGATATTAAACAAGTAAGAACGTTGCAGTCGGGCGTTACCGACTGCGGAATACTCATTCACATCCCATCAACAATTTAGTAGTTAAGTTTCGCTCTAATACTGTAGAATATACAGGTTTTTCCGATTTGCCACGCCCCAACTGGGCGTAGACACCTCATTTTTGGTCAGTTTTTAGAAAGAGATAACGGTACCCTAACTGCAAAGTTTGAATGCTTACCCTCAAGAAATGTGAAAATTACAGGGTATTTTTCGATATGCCACGCCCCTATAGAGGCGTAAAAATTATTTTTAGGGAATCGATAGAGAAGGCTACCAGTAACTCAACTATCCAAATTTGAAGCTTCTAGCTATTATACTTTTGGAGATATAAACTTTTGCGGTTTGCCACGCCCCCTGTGGGCGGACATATATCCGACAAAACTTTTTGGTCTTGGGTGATCAGTCCGAGTATATATACAAAATTTGAGGTCTCTGCCATCAATAGTGTCCAAAATATAGGAGAATTTAAAAAATCACTATATCTTCAGGTCCGATTTGCCACGCCCCCAATGGGCGTAGACTTATAATTTATCTTTAGACTTTATAGAATCATACCATTAGCTGACGTGCAAAATTTCAGCATTCTAGGTTGACAACTTTAGGAGATACAGTTTTATCCGATTTGCCACGCCCCCAATAGGCGTAGATATATCCGCCATAGCTTGTGATCTTGGGTGGTCAACGCGGACCTACATACCAAATTTCAGCTTTCTAGCTCTTCAACAAACATGATTTCTGGTATATCGGAAAATGCATTTTCCGATTTGCCACGCCCCCAGTGGGCGGATCGGGAAAATTTTAACACTTTATAAATCGGAGATATACACGAGTATGTGTTCCAAATTTCAAGTCTCTAGCTTCAATAGCGCCGAAATAGATTGCGTTCATACGGACAGACGGACAGACGGACAGACGGACGGACAGCAAGACGGACATTGCACAAAACCAATATACTGATTCACTTTCGTGAATGAGTATAAAAATATATATAAAAAATATATAAAAAAAATATATTCTAACAAATTTTAAATGAAATCAATTAAAATTAATAATTAAATGAGTCGGAATTCAAGTAATAATAATAACAAATCAATGCGGCGATATACTAAACACATAAGAATTGTAATAATAGTTACTTTGATTTAAGTTCTTGCAAGCTGAGATTTCTATGCGAGCCTTGTAAAAGTCTTGTAGAACATTTTAGCAGTTGTCAAAAAAATAACTTTTGTGTTTCAAGTTCTCGAGTAACTAAAAAGTTGATAAGCTACAAAAAAAGTTATGGCAAATTGTGTGGCACTTATGTATTTGGCTAACTTTACATTTTTATTAGGCCAACTTGCTAGAATGGAAAGTTTGCAGCTACATATAGATACCACAACAGCAGCAACAGCAACAGCAACAGCAACAGCAACAACAACAACATGCCAACAAGTGGCGTTTTGGCCAAGCACTTACGTCATCTCGGCCGTGCCCCAAGCGGCAGTCAGGAACGGTAGCCATGTGTACCGCACGCATGTTGTGTTTACCACCCTATGCCGAAGCCGAACCGAGTTGCAACTCGAACTTGTGCGCAGGAAGTCAACCACGAACCACAAAGCGCTGCGAAGCGAAGACGAAAAACACCAAAGAAACTAAGAAACAAAAAACAGTTTCGCAACGAACGCAGCACGCAGCAGTCGCAGATGCAGCGCCATCAGGCAACAGTTTGAGGACGAGGCGCTGCGCTCACAGTGTCCATGTCCATGTTCGTGTCTGTGGCTGTGTATGTGTATGTGCCTGTGTCTGTGTCTGTTACTGTGTCCTCATACTCGTTCGCCGCTCGTTTCTGTTCGCTTCGTTCGTTTCGTTGCACTCGTCGCAGTCGATTCGAATTTTGATAGTTTGAAATCAGTCGTTGCCGACTTGTTGTGCCATTTGCATATTATCAACATCAGCGATCGAAGCACCGCAAGCCATATCTGAATAAATAATGATATACAAGTAAAGCAGTACATTCAAAGAAATCTTTATAAAGAAACGCATAAAATATTAAGTGGCTACTTAAAGTGCATAATTAACACAATATTGGAAATTAATAAACTGTCGCGCATTGCACGAGTGAAATTTTAATTGCAATTCGAAATTTGACGTTCTCGCATTCAATGCTAATTGTTAACCGAGTGAGTTTCAATTTCAATTATAATTAAGTTCTTTGAAGTCGACTGTAGTCCCAATTTGCTCTCTATCGAAATGTGTGGCAAAAGTTTTGATCCTAATTTGCGGTTGTCAAGTTTTTCACTCTTTTCGTAATTTACAGAAGTTTTGTCGGCTGATGTGGTTCAAGTCCATTAAATAACTTTAGTATGCTCAGTTAATTGCCTAGTGCAAGCATTATTATGAATCGCTTTTGAAATTTTATTTTAATTTTATGGTGTTTTATAAAATTTATGTAAATTCGTTGTTGGGCTTACATTAGTATTTTTAGTTATTCATCAAAGTTTTGAGTTAAATTAGAAAATGTATTTTAGTTAATTTTAAGAATATTATATTTTTATTAGAATTATTTTAAAAAATGCAAATATTTTTTAAATTGGATATATTTTATGAAATAGGAAAACCTTTTAAGGCTAAAATACATTAAACGAATTTTCGTTTTTAATTATTTGTTTTTAAATTAAATTTATTTTTACATTCAAATTTATCCAAGGTTATAATTTAAAATACTATTTATTAAAAAAAAAAAAAATTACTAATTCCAAAAAAAAAAAATAAAATAAACAAATAAATTAAATATTATTTTTAATAATTTTTGTTTTTTAATTAAAAGTAAAAAGTAAGTGTTTTATTTATAATTAGGTTATTTTTTTCATTTTTTGTTTTATTCTTTATTATTTTTTATTTTAAATAAATAAATAATAAATAAATAAAAATATTATAAATGAAATATTAAATAGTATAAGCAATTTGTATTACTAGATATCTGAATATAAACATTTTACTCGACTATCCTCAGAATAAAAGTTGGAAAATATTAATCATAAGTTACTTGGCCTTATTAGTCATAAGCTAGAAGTGAAACATAAATGCTGATATATATTTACAATATACTAGTTGGCGGCGGTAGCATAAGCTGGAAAGTGCGGTAAGCTGCACGTAAAGATTTGCGAAGTTCGACAAGACGGAGCCGTGCTCAGCTTCAGATTTGATTAGCACTGACTGTCGTCTGTGGGGGCTAAGATGGGACTGCGAATCGCCATGAAATTTTCATTTAACTTTCTCTAGACAACACGAATACAAGTGCGTGTGTGTGTGTGTGTGTGCGTTAAGCTAAACATGAGCATTATATGCGAAGGCAGGCAGCTGAAACTAAAAATACAGACAATGCAATTTTATTGCGCAATTTCGCAATGGCAGCGTCTTGGCAAACGATTTCGCTGTGGGGGCAGCAGCGGCAGCAGATGTATAGCCGGCTGAAGGATAAAGCCAGGCTCTACGTAGGCAATGCTCGGCGGTAATTTGCCAATGAGACGTGTTGGTCCCGCTGCTTAATGTTGCCTTTTAGCGCAGTTTTATATTGGTTTGCTTACATTCAATTAGGCGAACGCACGAGCGCGTTCGAGTCCCGTCCAAGTATGCTCGGTGTCCTGCCTCGTATATATATTACAAGCCAATGAAAGGATAACACGAAAATGAACAAAAGCCACAGCATACCGAACAGTTCTCTCTGTGTGTGTGCATGTGTGCGTGTGTTGATGTTTGAGTTGGCCAGGGTCCTGCCACAATGTGTGTTTAATTGTATATTACGTATACGCCACATTTGACGCATTGTGGGCGTCGCTCGCCCCGCTTGTTGTACTTTGTGGCGTGTATATCTGAATTAACACATGTGACACTCGACATATCCATAAACACGACTATGTGTGTACCAGTGTGTGTGTGTGTGTGTGTGTGTGTGTGCTAGTTGTAAATTATTGCGCGTATTACGTTTACATTTGTATTCGTTATTTGCTGCCGGCTTTTATGGCTTCCGAAATTTGTCGAAAATGCTCTGTGTATAAATTTTTGCTATAGGCTGTGACTATAATTGCACGGCTATAATTAATTGCACTGCATACATTAAACATGAAAAATTACTTGACCGCCGGCCAGCCGAGGGTGCTAACTGTCCGATCAGCCAAATGAAACTTTGAATGCATTTAATGGCTGCAGCATTTAATAGGCCAAATGGTCAATAGTAAATATGCATTTAGCTAAATATTTCACTTCGTCGCCGTGTTTCATTAGTAATGCATTTATCTCGATAGCTGTGAATGCCATTCTTAAAGTATCACAGTCTATATAAAGAAATATGTATTTAGCTGGCAATTGCTGTCCGGAAAAACCCAGAAAATTATTATTAAAAAAAAGGGGGAAAATAACGATTTCATAATGGAATTAATTCTTTTCAAATTACTTTGTTGATTGAACATCGGCGGGTCAAGCGTCATACATTTGAGCCTAACCCAAATACATATTCATTGAGCTGCCTTAGCTCGCCTTTATAGAAATCCATTTACTGCCCTTGCATGCAATGCTATGGACCGAACCAGTGGATAAATCAAATAAAAAAAAAAAAAAAAAAAAAAAAAAAAAAATACTGGAAGTGATTTTTGCGCACTTGTTTCACGTGATTAAATCGGAATATATTAATCGAGAGTAGCAGAGTAATTAACTCAGTTGGATGTTGTACGCTTTACATAAATTATTTATTGCATTTAAATTTGTTTTACCATCAATTATCTTTAAGCCCATCACAATGTGTGTCTGCATAATGAGCTGAGGCGCCAAAAACTCAAATTGAATTCGAAATAAAATTGAGTATTAAATGAACTTAAATCTATGAACATTTCTATTTAACTATCAATTACAATTTTATTGAGAAAAATACAAAAATTTGGAATATTTCATTTATTTTTTATGAAAGCTCTAAAAATTCGATCAAGTCGAATCGTAAATGATATATAAATATAAATAAATACATAAATATATATATTTTTATATAAAATAAAAATTCATAATTCGAAATTTGTTGAGCTATGACCCCGCTGTGCCAGTCCGGCCTTCCATTAAATGTTCTGGTTCAATAAACTCGCGGCATTAATTTGCAAAGGAAAAAAGGGACAGCTTTCTGACCGCACTGCGGACCCATGTCCATTTGGATTATTTGATGTCCGTTAACCGCGCAACAATTACGAGTCCTAAGTACAGCGGACCTTCGGGCACTTTTCCGAATTTAAGTTCTAAATGGAGACAGTATAAAAAAAAAAAAAGTTAAATGAGTGAAAGCACCTGCAATGGCAAAGGAAAAACAGATTGCCAGTGCTTTGCAAGCTTTTAACTGCGATTTTCACGCTTGCATGGCTTTTCACGCTGTTTGCTTTATGTACTAGTAGAACATACTCGTATTATATATTTACCGTTTTTATTTCGGGCTTTGGCATTGGTGCGCTTTCTGCTCGTGCGCTTTGTCTCTTTGAGTGTCTACAAAGTCAGAATCATCATAAAATATTTAACAACCTGAATGCACTCACACATTTATGAAAGTGTAAATATTTAATGATGGATGCCTTCGGCTCCACCTTCACAACCTCACCCACACAACCAGCCAGTCAAGCACTCAGCCAGCCAGCTGGTTAGCTAGACTGCGCTTCCTAGATTTTAAAGTCAGGATATTGGTAAGGCTGTCTCACGTGTCTCATGTGTGGTCTACCTGAACTTTAATGGCCACAGCGACGGCTTATTGTTATATGCGGCGTATGCGTAATGCGCTGTGCTCTACTGCCATGCATTGTGAATGATTGTAAATTATTAATCGACTGTGTTTTGCCAATAAACTGCGCTCAGAATAGCTACGAGGTTGACCTGATAAATAAGTTGAGGAAATAGAGAAACTTTCCATTTAGAAGTGGCTTACATAATGCATTACATAATTGCCATTGTTTTTGACCATAATAATGGGGTATTACGTATTCTAAATTTCTATAATAATTAATAAAAAAAAAAAAAAAAATACATATTGAAAATTTCTTAATAATTCAATAGGTGTTTTGATATTATTTTGTATAGCTCTTTGATTTATAATATTTATATTTATATACCTATTGGTTAACATCTCTTGAATTGAAATGAACTTAAAACTGTTTAGCTGACCCTCGCAACTTTTGCTCTATAGCCTAACAACAATAGCAGCTATCAAATTCAGCGTTAACCTTTTGCGGCGTAGCCTTCGAGCTTCAGCTTTTCTGAGAGTAAGTCAGATATACCTTCATATATAAATATAACATGTATATGATAAATAAATAAAATATATATGTATATATGTTCAAGTATTTTTTATAATTAATTAAAATTATGCGCGAAGCATTCACAGCACTCATAATTAAATTCACGATGAATTGAAGTTGACATGGAGTGAAGGAGTAGGCCCAAAGGATAACGTCGCGACAGTTAATCAACTCACGCAGCTGTTCAACAGAAGAAACAGAGAGACTGAGAGAGAGAGAGGGAGCGAGAGAGTGAAAGAGATGAATAGAGGAGATGCAGGACAAGAACGCAAGTAATGAAAGCCATTAAAAATGGCGACGGTTTAACACGGGAAAATCGATAGAACCAGCGAAAGACGTGAAAAGTGAAAACTGATAAAATGCAGCACAGCACACAGTCTCACACACACACATACCCACACAGTTACACAGAAACACGCGGGCGGACACACACACGCGGAAACTAAGTGACCCGGTCTTGCGATAGAGTCTGGTATTTTTCATAGTTAGTTCACGCACACACACACACAGAGAAACACCCGCACAGGTGCAGGAAAATTTCTGCAAAAACAGGGCATGTCAGCTGGGCACAGCTATTTCTCATAAAACTAGCTAGAATCGAAACATTCAACCAGGTGCATACTCCTGGCCAAGCAGCGCTCCACATCGCTGCTAATGATAATGGAATGCGTTGCCATTTAGGTTTGTGTAGGGCAAAATAATTGGCTCACCCAGCGTCAACCATTAAGTCAACCAGCTTATCAATTACGAGTGCACATTACGAAGAATAGCAGGGGTCTAATGTATATAGGTGGGTCAAATGAGCAGCTGCAGGAATTGGCATTAAGAATTTCTAAAAATTTAACTGGACTTTTTTA